ATTCCCGCTAGAGGCACGTCCATGCACTACACCCTTCCGGCCTGAGTTTTGAGCAACGATGAGCTTCGGAGAAGTCGAACGTCTGCTTTGGCTGCCTCAGGCACAACTGCGCACACGTGCTGAAACTTCTCTATTGGGCTCATTTAATACCCATTTATCCTCTGTAACAAGTGCTTCTTCAGAAGGCTGAGGGTCGGCAGAAGTCTCATCTTGCTGGTGAGCAAGTCCAGACTCTTGCGCAGGTTCTTCTTGCGCATGATTGCTGTAATCATAATGAACATGATGAGTGAAGAAGCTGACGCGCTGAACTTGGAACTCAACATTGTACATGTACTCTGCCATGACCTCAAGGTCCAACACAAGGCGCGAGCTTCTGGAAGTATCCAGTGGCAAGCGGTAGATGCCCAACGGATCACAGGTGAGAGAGGCATTGCCTGGTGTGAGATTGAGAGAAAACCTCAAGTTGCGCATCTGCGGAAGCGACATAAGGAACGGCACCTGACCTTCTTCTACAATGTCAAACTCAGTACAGTGAATTGAACCACAATAGTCACTCATGTAAACCACTAACTTCTCTGTGCACTTAGAGGTTTGGCTATTGGCAAAGGAGAACTGAGAGGTGGTAGGCTTGATTTCATACCACAAGTAGGTGTTGTGGCCTTGCCTGTCGATGTGCTGGCAAATATGGTTCACTGCTGTTCTAGAACCCATAGCCTTAGTACACCCTAAATCTAAGATAACCTTAGTAGGGGACATATCGACTACTTGCAAGGCTGCAGGAGAGGCCATCATGGCTTCACCAGGCTCTTCAGGGTCATCTTCATCATCACGGTCACCACCATCATCATCTGAAAAGGTGTCAGGTGAGTGAGGCTCAAAGTCCTCCAGACCTGAAGGCGGTGTATCACCTGGAACGCGAGATCGTGGCAAGAACATCTCGTCTGGATCAGGTTCTCTCCAATGCCTCACCTCATCATCGTCAAAGTCACCTATACCTGCTCCATCATCTCCTGCAGCATGTATGGCTTCTTGCTGCATGCGCCATTCATGCCATCTATCCGGAGCATCGTCATCATCAGAAAGGGTACCAGGCGGGTGCACCTGCTTCCCTTTTCCTTTATCGTTGCGAAACTCCAGAGTATAGGCAGGCTTTCCTTTAATGATGGGACCTCCTTTACCCTTGCCTATCATATACCTATGAGAGCGCACAACATCAGTGGGAAGTTCAAACGATTGTTGAGGAAGGGTCAACACAGTATCATCTGGCGCAAGTTCTTCATCTGCTGGCTGATCTGGCTGACCAAAGTGATGCTCATACCAAGGGGGAGTAAGATAGGTCGCATCCTTGCCCTTACCTTTGGACATGGAAAAGGGCAAAACAGATGCCACAGGATTAACGTTGCCGGAGCTGGAACTGGCTGGTTCCCCACTGTTGAGTGGGCCTCCAAGCAACGCAGGAGGTTCCTGGGAACCTATTGGAGTGAAAACCATAAGGTAACCACGACCATACAGAGACCTATGTTGATGGACCTCTGGCACAGCTCCCCTGAGGTATGAGAACAGTGTGCATCACAATCATATCGGAGCGCTGATGGTGAAATTCTCATGTTGGGACACATGGCGGCTGAAGTCAGAGTATTATCTGTACTTGTCCACTCATCAGCGGCATCTGAACCAGAGTCCGAAGTGTCCGGCGATGGCGGTCCTACCGTTCGGCGAAGTTCCTCCATCAGAGCGTAGTAAAGCCAGATCGGTATGAGCCAGTCGTCGAGCCGAACGTTATAATCCTCTTCGTTAAGGGAATACACGAGAGTGGCTTCCTGAATGACTTGGTGGAGGTCACGGCGCCAGACAATAAGCCTTGTGTTATTATGTACCTCCGCACCTCAAACTTAAACCTATGACGGAAAATATCCCAGGGGACCCTTACCTCATGTAAAGCTTCAGGGTAACCATTGGGGTCTGAACTAGGTCCATGGGCTCCTGGAATAGTTCCCGCATTCCTAGGACGGATAAACCGTAAGAGTCTGAGCGCACCTTTCCTGGGTCGGAAGGCCAGCTTGCTCATGTGGAAGAGGAGGCCAAGGGGAAAAGTCATCACTGTCAGGTTCTTCCTCGGCAACAGCTACAGACTCTTCCTCAGACTGTTCGGCAGCAACTGCAGGTTCCTCCTCAGAACCAGACGAAGAAAAGGCAACAAGGCTACCATCAGAACTGCGATAGACAGCGCGTACCTGACCACGCTTGTTGGGAGCATACATTGGGATACCAGGCCGGGGAGCCCGCATTCCCTGTGGTTCGGGCTGGCCAGGTTGCTGAATGTATGCCTTACCCTTTGCCTTTCCTTTTGTTCTATACCACATACGGCCCTTACCCCAACCAGCATCATAATAATAGGGAAGTATGTAATAAAAACCAAACTTACCAAGATCATACCCAAATTCATCAATCCACATCCGAGAACGTGGTGTAAGGCCAAGTTCCCAAGGAGTGGAGGAATGCTGCAAGGCAATGATCATGAGAGATGGATCTTGTGGAGGAAGATAGATCCTTTGAAGCACAATTGGGGATAGGCCGAAGTTGCGGTAAGGCTGGCTGTTAGGAGGAGGACTGCCGATGTTGTCATCATCGACGTTGCTCCTCTCGTCGAAATCCTCATCAAAGCAATTGGGGTAAACGAACCCAACGCTAGAGGAATGGTAACGCCAGCAGGTGTCAGGAACAGGCGGCCATGGATAGACACGAACACCCTCCGGGGATTGCGAGGATCTACGCGGCACATAGCAAGCGACTATTCTTCCTAAAGGCTTTGTCCCAATTTTGTCATACATAAACTTTGGGAAGTAATGTTCCTTACCTTCAGGAGGAAGGCACAAGCCAGCGTTTGGGTAATTAGCTTGGTAAATTATCCAGAGATAAGCTTCCTCACGCTCTTCCAAAGGCAGACGCTTAAGCATTTTGTAATAATTAAGGGGAAGAGTCTGCGTGAAGAGGAAGTCTTGATGTTCCTTCCAAAGCATGCTCCTGGATATTTTAATTCACCAACAAACCGACCCATTCCATATTGCCACCCTATGAAATGGGGGTCCCTCCAAACGACCGAAGCAAAATAAATCAATGCTCGTCTTGGAAGAACGCCAGTCATCAAGAAGTGGAGCCTTTCAGTGGGGTTTAAGGGTAGTGTCCTAACTACCGGACCCCAGTCTCCTCGATTCTCTTCGAAGAAACCCCAGATTGTCCACTGCAAGAAGGCAGAATTGGCACCACTTCCTTCACCTGGAAGCATGGCAAAGCTTGGTCCATGGAGGGAGCGTATGAATGCCAACTCAAACACAATGCGGTTGAAAGGGATTCAGGTCTACGATGGACTTCCGGAAACTCATGAATGGCATCTGAATGGGGTTCATAATCTTGAAGAATACACCAAACCCTATCAGAGATGCAATGGCAGTGATGCCATTCATGAGCCAGAAGCCATTCGTGATAAATCAGAACCCTAGGTTCAGACATTGACTCCTCACTAAGGAAATGGGAAACATTCAGGTTCATACCAGAGCCAAAAGCTCCAGGAGTCAGGTTCTCAACCGGTGGCATGGAATTACTGGCATAAAAGTAAGAACCATACTCTGAGTCATCACTATGTAAGTCAGGAACATAAACATCAAAACCAACCTCGACCTCAGAGTCGGTATCACGCCTTTGGGTGCGCAAAGAGCCCCACGGAGTTCCAGGTTCCTCATCGTTGGATGAACCTCCTTCTGCAGGCTCTTCATCATCATCATCCATAGGCTGCGCAGCATCATCAGGCTCATTATGATCACCATCAGCATCGGGCACAACATCTGGTTCCCCAGCGTTGGCCGGGCCTCCATCAGCTGGTCCCCCAGCGTTGACTGGGCCTCCAAAGGTTGCACCTGTCACCTCGGGTTCCCCGACGGCGGTCGGGCTTCCCACAAGAAAGAGGAAGGCAACGAAGGGACATCTACCGCAGCTTGAGCCTCAGGTTGCGAAGAAGCTACATGAGAACTACCTTTCTTGTCTTTACCATCTTTACCCTTCTTACCTTTCTTACCTTTCTTGCCTTTACCTTTAGACTTGTAGCTGTCTGCATGTTCATGCGCTGATTCCTGATCCCATGATTGCCATGAATCTGCTGCGTCAGGCTGACTAGACCAGCCATCTTGCCACCACCAGGCCTCTTCAGTCTGCCACGACCAACCATCAGACTGGCTGTGGTCTTCCTGGTAATGGCCCTTCTTTTTGCGGCGAGATTTAAAGAATCTCCGACCGCCACGGCCTCGGCCGCGGCTCTTTCCTCCGCGTCCTTTTCCTTTGCCTTTCCTCGATCTTCGGCCTTGGAAACGACGCTGGAACCATGCATCGTTTTGTTCGTCATAGATATAGAAAATGTCTTCGCGAGCATCCAGAAACCCTTCTGCTCCATCGTCTTCATCTTCGGCCCAAAATCCGAAGGAGCCATCGAGTTCTCCTTCATCTATCACGATGAAACTCCTCCGACCACCATGGCCAGTGTTGTTCAGGAGTGGATTGTCCACGGCTGTTCTTGGATTGCAAAACATCTCGATAAAAATGTCTCTCAGGGTGCCGGCGTCCAAACCGACCAGATCTACTCCACGATGTGCCATAATGCTGGTAAGTGACATCCTCTGGTCGAAACTCAGTTCCGCACACGACACAAAAAGGAGTCTGTTGGTTGCGTTCATGCAGCGACGCATGCTCTTTTTGTGTCAAGCTTGGAAGCTTGGGCTAGAATCGTCTGTAGTGTGGATCACACAGCTTTATCTAGCAGAGACAAGCAGCAGTTCAGGAGCGTTTGTGGAAAACCTTTGCCTAGGGTCGCTCACACATGGCTGTGCTTAAGGCCTAGGCCACCGGCATCTGTGCAAGATGCAAGAGCAGGCTATGAGCCCAACCGCTCGCGCTGCTAGGCTTCGCTCTAGGTCCTGGAAGGCGAAGAAGGCAGTCCTTCTTATGGCTCCATGGACTCAGCTTCATGGCAGGCAGTGTTGGGAGCGCAAGCTGTGGTTGTTAATGGTGTTGCTTCAAGACCTGTTTTGGACGCGACAACCGGACCTGTGGAGAGCGACGTACGGAGCGCGCACGGCACAGACACTGTTACACAGCAAGCACCCACACCAGCAAACACCTTGCAGTCTTCTACGCAGCAAGCATACGCCGCAGCCGCCTCAGCAGCTGGTGCTTTTTCTCCTCTTGTAGATCATGTTCATCAACGGATGACAGTGGGTGAGGTAACCTTCTCACCACCTGAAGAGCTCCAGCGCTATGATGGAGAGCGGCCTCAGCAACCTCCAGTGTGGATCATGCGTTTGGGGGAGTTTCTTCAGCGAAGGGTGACCCAAGCTGGAGCGATGATGACTCCTTTACTTGAAGCACGAAACTCTAGATCCTCAGACCCCTCAAGATCTCCCTTGCCACCACCGCCAAGGAGCTGGTCAGGGAGTCAGCCACCTGGACTTTTCACTCCGGAGGCAGAGAGGGTGATGCAGCAGCGGGCTAGTCAGGCTCCCCTACTACATGGAAGTCAGCAACAGCAAGGGAGTGACTCATCCACTGGTTCCGTGACAAGAGAGCAAGTTCTTCAGGAGGTACAGCGGCAAGTTGCAAGGGAGATGCAAGTGTTTAGTCAGCAGCAAAGCCTTCTTGAAGCTGAGAATCAAAGGCTTCGAATGGAATTAGAGCGTACTGTACAAGACCGCCGTGCTCAGGCGACGGATCTTCGTGAAGGACAAGGGCAATCTAGGTGGATCCCAGGGAAACGTTGCTTTGACATCCTTTGAGGGACGTGGCGATAATCCTCCTGGACTTTGCCCCCAACCTCCTAGGCTATTAGGAGATCCTAGAGCGCGGATGTGATCCTTTGCCTGGAGTAGGAGACTCTGAGGGAGGGCAAAGGGGTCATGGTCTTCTTTATGAACTAGGACAAGCTCCTCGAGAGAGTTTCAAGTTCCTCACCTATCGCCAGGAAATCCGCTTGGAGCTCAAGAAGGGCAAGGCGCGCGACCCCCTTTTGAGTCCAGGACAGTGGGTGGCGGCGTTGGTGGTGGACAGAACTCGCAAGGAGCGGGTTCCAAGGATCAGGGGTCCGATGACCCACGCCAGGGACACATCCTTTGGGACTTCTTGTTCAAGGAATGGCACAACTTCAGAGTGTGGTTTCAGAGTCTTTGATGTCGAAGGCCAACGGAGCTGCCCAGGCTCTCAGAGTTGTCTGAGAACTCTGCCATAGATATGGGAGACTGGCTGCATGGTCTCCAGAACCACATGGGCGACTTGTCCAATGGCAGCGGGCTGTGGTGGAAGGCGGTGACGTCTTCTTTGTCAGCCTACTATGGAGCTGTCTTTGAAGCTGAAGGATCCCAAGTGGTCACGGGTGGATAAGAGGGCAGCCTCGATGTTGCTTTTGAGTGCCCCGTCAAGTCTGCGTGAAGAGCTCGCCTCCAGACTTAGTGGAACTTTGGCCATTTTGGCACGTGTGGTAGTCCTCTACCGCCCTGGATCTGTGGTGGAAAGACAGCAAGTCCTGGCCTCTTTGGAGAGTCCGCCGCAGGCTGTCAATGCAGCAGATGCTGCGGCTTCTTTGAGACGCTGGTCGAGATGGATGTCAAGGGCGACGGACTTGGGCATCCAGAAACCAGATCCGAGTGTCCTTTTGCGCGGCTTGGACTCTATGTGCAAGAAGCCGCTCCAGGAGCAGCCAGAGATCTCTTTTCGCATCAGCATGCTTCGCTACAATCTGGAGGTGGATGTTCGTCCCACGGAAAAGGGTGTGAAGGACTTGCATCAGGCTTTGGTCTCTGAGTTTGAGCAGGTAGCGTATAGGGGGTCAACGGCCAGCAGTTCGCAGGTGCCCTTTGCGAAGGCAGTGACTACGAATTTAGGCCCTCCTCCAGCCAAGGCATCTTCAGATACTGGATCTCCTACGCAGCAAGCCAAGGCAAGGGGCAAGGGATCCACTCCTTGCAAGTACTATCTATCAGATCAGGGGTGCTCAAAGGGCAAAGCTTGGACATGGTCGCACAACTTCACACGGAAGGAGAAGCAAGGCAGGTGTTGGGAGTGTGGAAGCCCTCAGCACCAACAAAGCGCATGTCCTGTGAGATCTGAAGGAAGACCAGCGGGTAAGGCAAAGGCTGCTTTGAAGGCAGCGCCTCCACCAGCAGCATCTTCAACTGGAAGTGGAGGTCAGACAGCTACTTCGACTCCTTCGGCTCAACCTATGGCAAGTTCTCCAGCCATTGCTCTTCAGGCTGCGACTACTTCGCAAGTTGGAAGAGGGAGCGCAAGCGGCTCTCCTGAAGCTTCAGATGTGCAAGTCAAACAGCTGCTCCAGGAGGCCAACGCAACGCTCAAGGAAATGAAGCAGCTGAAGATGTTGTCTCTTTCTTCTACGACTGTTGAGAACATGGCTGTTGGGTGTCACTCCGCATATGCCTTCCCTTGCGGAGCTGGCTGGACCTCCACATGTGCCTTCCCTTCCGGAGCTGCCTGGACCTCTGCATGCGCCTTTCCTTCCAGAGCTGCCTGGACAAGCTGCTGCTGCATGGTTGCAATCCTCAAGATGGAAGGACAGGTTACAGGTTTGCTGGGCTCTGGAGCATCCCACCCGTGTCGAGTAGCGTTGCAGGAGGAGCTTGAGACTGCTAAGCGTGTTCGAGTTCAACTTGCAGATGGAGGCGAAGTGGTCTTAGCTCAGAATCGTGGTGGAACTCTCTTGGCGGCAGCGCCTAAGGAGGGAGATTCGGCAACTCCTATTGTTCCGCTTGGGGCTCTCGTTCAAGATCTTGGATGTGATGTTTCTTGGACAAGAAAGCGTGGCCTGGAAATCCGACACCCGGAGCATGGCGTGATCAAGCCCAAGGTTGTAGGTCCCTGCCCAGTCGTTGGAGAAGCCTGCGCTCTGGACCTCATTAAGGAGCTTTACGGCAAGGGCAATTTGGACATGGGATCAAGAAAAGGAGTGGTCGCAGCACTTGGACTCTTTCCTCACCTCAGGACAGAGAGCTTCTCAGCTACAAGCCTTATCTGCGCAAGATTCTCCGTTTAGATGGGCAAGCCAAATGGACAAGGCAGCTTTGGCGGAGGGAGTTGAGTTGTCGCAAAGGGCCGGCTGGGACTACTTGAAGGCCTTCCCCATGTCCAGGCAAAAGCGGAAGAGGATGCTGGCTTCTGAATGGGTTGTGCATTTGTACTCTGGACAAGGCAAGGGAGCGGATCCGATTCTCAAGGAGCTCGAGACCAATGTTGTCCTTGTGGAGATTGACACCACTAAGTCTTTGTCCTTTGACCTTAACAAGATGAGTGGTGTGTACAGGGGCTTACTGTGGGGAGCTGCTATGGGGAAGATCGCTGGCATTCTTGGAGCCCCTCCCTGTCGAGGAGAACGTGATGCGCAGCTCATCTTGAAGCAGATGTGGCTGTCTATGGTAGCCAAGGCCGCTAGAAGCAATGCGAGAGCGTTTCCTTTGTTCTGCATGCTTGAAGGGAGAAAGTTCTTTGAGGTCTTGAAGGGTGATGTTGGTCACTGCTGGAAGGACCTTAGAAAGGTTTGGCCGGAGTTCGTTGAGCAGATGTGTGTGGAGGAGATTGGCGAGGCGACGGCGACCAACTTGGACTTCATCTTGCTATTGGAGATCACCACTGGGGAGGCAGCTGTCTGGACTCCTAAGTTCAAGAAGGAGATCGTGGAGGCTGTGAACAGGTGGCGGAAAGAGCCAGAAGCTCTGCAGATCGTGAAGTGGGCAAAGAAGATTGATGTCAAGGGCTTTCTTGAGCCCTTCAGCGAGAAGGACTTGCAGATGTGGAGGACCCACGTGAGAAACAACCATACGCCCTACAGTCGCCACTGCCGAACCTGCGTCTCATCCTCGGGGGTTGGTCGCATTCACAAACGAGTGAAGCATCCAAGCGCAAATTGTCTCAGCCTTGATGTGGCAGGCCCGTTCCAAGTGAAGGCTGCGGATCCTGATCATGCAGACTACCGGTACCTGCTGGTTGGCGCGTACACGTATCCACGCCTGGAAAAGGAGCAGCCTCCCCAGAAGAAAAAGAAAGGCAGCAAAGACAAGCAGGAAGCAGGGACTTCTGACTCAGTATGTCCAGGTGATCCCGCCTCAGTTCCTGAAGCTCCTAAAGAATGTTCTCAGGACGAGCGTCTTCCAGGCGATGTGTGCGGTCCTAGTGATGGAGTCCCGCTGGGGCGACGGTAGAACCGGAAGATCTTTTGGGAGTCCTGTTGGGTCAGGATGAAGAACCTCCGGCTGGTTGAAGATGGCGGGGAGGGGCGTCAAGAAGAGGATCCCCAGGGTGATCTTTTTGAGGAGTATGCCGAGGTAGTCGTGGATGAGGGCGATGAGCCGGACTTGAAGGGGCTTTCCCAGAAGGAGTTCGAGAAGATCTTCCATGAGGTGGGAGAGGGCCTTGAGTTTGATACCTTTTACGTGGCTCGTCCATTGAGATCCCGAACCTCTTCAGAAGTATATGCTGCAGTCCAAGAAGTTTTCTTGACCTTGCGTGCAGAAGGGCTGCCCATATCTAGGGTCCACGCAGATCGAGCGCGTGAACTTCGCACAGTTCCTTTGAGAAGATGGCTGTTGGAGCGAGGCACCCTTTGCACCTACACGGAGGGGCAAGCTCCTCAGGCAAACGGCAGGGCAGAAAGCGCTGTGAAGTGGGTCAAGGCCCAAGCTCGGAAGCTCTTGACTGCAACTTATTTGCCGAGATCGTGTTGGGCTATGGCTGCAGTGTATGCCACTTGGGCCAGGCGTGAGTCTCAGTTGGGCAGAGGACATGATGTACTTCCTTTTGGAACTCCTGTGCATGAGCGTTCGAAAGTCTATGGAGCTGGAGGTCGCTATGATCTCAATCTCAGGTGGAGGGCTGGCAAGTATGTAGGCCCCAGCCTTGATGTACGCGGGGGTCATGTGGTGCGCTTTGAAGACGGATCTTTCCTTATGACAGCACACCTGACACCTCACCTTGTGGACTCAGACAAGTTGGTCGACCTGGGCAAGTACGAGGCCATGGTGTTGACTCCGTCCAAAAGGGTCAAGGGGAAGACTAGTTTGGAGGAGGCTGCAGATGTTGATTTTTTGGATGTGGATGTTGGCGAGCACGATCCTGAACATACAGCTGAGCAGTATGCTCTTGGTCTTTTGCGCGAAGATCGTCTTGAGCCGGAGCAGCTAGAAATCTTGGCACACTTGCTACCTGGAACTTCATCCATTCCCAGGCGGTTTGGAGTTGTTGAAGATGCTCAGAAAGTGTGGACCTCAGGGGCTTTTGTTCATGGTGGAGTCCTTGGGTTGAAGAAGTCCACAACGGCGTTTCCAATGGCTACAAGAGCATTCGTAAAGTATGTCAAGCAGGTTATGCCCGAGCATGAGTTTAACTCCGTGGCTGTCAACATAAATGTTCAAGCCAAGGGCCATAAGGACATCCACAACACTGGCAAGAATCTGGCGGTTCCGTTGTCGGCGTTCCAGGGTGGTGAGACTGAGGTGGATACTCCAGACGGCACCCAGCTGCTAACTTTGCAGGATGGCCCCAAAGCGTTTGATCCCAAGTGTTTGCGCTCAACAAGGCAGTGGTCAAATGGCAACAGAGTTGTCCTTCTAGCTTACTCTGTTCGAGATAGCGAGAAGCTCAAGGCGGAGGACTCAGCACTGCTTAGGGACATTGGCTTCCACTGGACCCCACATCGGGGTCGATCGCCGGTGTCAGATGAGCCTGCTCTTTAAGAGCCATGAGGGTGGGCCTGATTAGGCCTTCGGATCAGGCTTTGTCGTCGCCTTTGAGGCCTTCTTCGGATGAGGCGGCTGGAGTGGAGGCTGATGTTGAGCCTGATCACTCTGCAGAAAGAGCTGAAGGAGACGCTCTTACTGAAGCAGCTCCAGACCCTCTTCTTCATGTTCGTCAAGACTTGGATGTAGTGCTTCAGGATCTTGAAGCAAGAGCGGCGAGACTTCGAGATCTGTTGGAGGAAGAAGAAATCTTGAGGAGGGCTGGAGATGAAACCCGTGCCCATCTCAGAGACGCTAGAGAACAAGTGTCTCAGTATTTGGAAAAAGCGCATACGCGTTTTTCTGATGTTGAGTCTTTGAGGGCTATGACGTTCTTGCGGGCAATGAGTACTTCTTCAACAGGGTCCAGCGCAAGTAGCCAGGAGCCAGACTATGAGTCTCTGTTAGACTCTTTTGGAGGAGGACTTGCAGGTGATCTACACAGTTCCTCTTCCTCAAGTGAAGGCTGTGCTTGAAAGATGGCATGCCGCTATTAGAAAGGAAGTGGAGAACCTCATTTCCACAGGGACTGTGAGGCAAGTGCCAGTCTCCGAGTTCAGAGCAATGGAAAAAGGGCAAGGCTCCGTGGTTGTCGCCCCAGCAAAGTGTGTCTTCACCTTGAAACTTCCGGCGGACCAAGGCTCCAAGTACAAAAAAAAAATGTAGAGTGGTCATTTGCGGGAACTTCCTGGCAGATGAAGGGCGCAGCTTGTATGCGTCGGGTGTCAACACGGACTCTTTGCGCCTTGCACTGGTGTTGGCGGCTTCCCGGCGATGGTGGGCAGCCATCTCTGACATCACGGGAGCGTTCTTCCTAGCACCTTAGCCTGATCACCTACCACGTTACGGCATATATCTTCCTCGTGTGGTGAGACTCGCAAGTAATCGAAGAAGTTGGGTGGATCCTGGAGAGGCCGTTGTACGGCCTGAGAGAGAGCCCAGCAGTGTGGGCCGCGTACCGTGACAGTCGGTTGCGGGAGGCTAGAATCGCTGTGGACAGCTTGGTCCTGATTCTCAGGCCCACTACTGCAGAGACTGAGCTCTGGATGGTCCTGGACGAATCTTCGGGTGTTCTTGTTGGACTTCTCGTAACGTATGTGGACGATATCCTGTACCTAGGGGAGATCCACATTGTGAATGCCCTTCATGCCTTTGTGTTGGAGAAATGGCCAGCGAGTGCCTTGGAATGGGTCAATGACAAGGTTGCTGTTCGCTACTTGGGGGTAGAGATCTTATGGGAGCCACAAAGCGGCAGCTTCAGCATTAGCCAAGCAGCATACATAGCAGACTTGTTACGCGCGCGCAACCTTCATGACACACACAGCACGCTGCTTCCAGCGCCTAGAGAGTGGGTCGAAGCTGTAGAAGCTGAGCTGGATGCAGTTGAGGCGGACATTGACGAAGAAACCTTGAGGAGTGCCCAAAGAGCTGTTGGTGAGGCTTTGTGGTTAGCCACGAAGTCACGACCAGACATCCTCTTCGTGGTCAATCACATGTCCAGTGTAGTCTCGAAGCAGCCATCCCACGTGTTGAGAGTAAGCCAACGAGCGCTTGCGTACCTTGCCGGTACGTGCTCCATGAAGCTCCTTCTAGGCCCACGAAGCGAGACAACTGGAGAGGCGATCTGTTTCACAGATGCCTCATACGCTCCTTTTGGGCGACGGTCCTTTGGGGCAGCAGTGGTTACTGTGGAAGGGTCAGCAGTGGCTTGGAAAGCAGGACGGCAGAGCTTTGTAACGCTCTCGGTCATGGAGGCCGAACTTTACGCAGCTACTCAAGGCTGTGTCTTGTTGGAGTCAGTCTTCTCTATTCTTGATGAGATTTATCCTGGCCGATACAAGCGTGTTTTGGCTATAGACAATACGAGCGCGGCAAGCATGTGTTCTGGGGGCCCTGGTAGCCAGCGCAGCAGGCATTTAAAAATCAGAGCAGCGTTTGTCAGAGAAGCAGTCAGTGAGGGACGTTTGGAGGTGAGACACACTCCTGGAGACCTGCAACTGGCAGATTTGGCTACGAAGCTGCAGCCGAAATTGCACTTGTGGAGACTGCTGACTTTATGGGGCTTTGTTGGAGATCGCATCACGGAGATCTTGAACGCTTTCCAGGCAAGGCTGCTGGCTGTAGCGGTTATGCTCTCGTCACTCTTAGTTCCAGCAATGGGAGCTAAGCTCAGCGCCAAGAAGGAGCCGCTAGCTACAAAAGCCTGGGAGGAACTGGCGCTCTTGCTAACGCTGACTTGTGTTGCTGTGATTGGCATGTGGGAAGC